ATACTGTACAGACCCCCCCCATACAGCACAGTCCCCCCTGATGGCTGAGAGTGTTGGGAGCTTACTGATGGATGTCAGGATCCAGTGCAGACACCGCGCATGCGCACTGAGGGGTAGGAGATTTCTTAGCAGAAGATATGGCCATCAGATTTCTATACCCCCTCAGTGCGCATGCGCGTCCTGGCTGGGTAGGCGCGTGCGCAGTGTGGGGCAGGGAGATCGGATGAATGTTCGGCTGAATCGATCTCCCTGCCCGCTGGTGCGCACGCGCGGTGTATCCCGCTGTCTGTGCCCGACGGGAGTACTTAGGCGCGCGTGCGCACTGGCCCGTTAGCGCCCCTACCTCCCCCCCCTTTGTGGCTCCAAGCGCAGGCGCAATGTGGGGTTCGCGCATGCGCAGTAGGTGGGCTCCTCTCTCTAGCGTGGTAGAAATTTTCTCCTACCTGTTCTTCTGCGCCTGCGCGGCGCGGTGCTCCTCCTTCTCCAGCTCCGAAACGTCATGTCCGGTGCGGCCGCGTCACTTTCACTTCCGGTATACCATTCTGACAAGGTATAGTAATCTGACGGAACACCTGGTCCTCTCTCTCACTCCCTCTCCCTCCCCCGCCGGCCGCCAGCACAGTGCCTGCGGACCGGGGAGGGAGATCTGTGATCTCCTCTCCGGTCCGCAGGCACATTGCAGGGCTAGCACCTGCATGTGCTGACAGGGGGGCAATTGCCCCGTTGCCCCCCCCCTGGATCCGCCACTGGAGGGAGGAAGCTTTAATTTCCCTGCTCTGCTCCCTCGCACACCTTGCAATGATGCCGGGAGCCAGGTTATGACATCACGCTGGCCCAGCATCACTAAACAGCATCACTCCAGCTTTTCAAAGGTAGGTAGGCTGGGGGAATTTAAAAAAATAATTATTTATGAGAGTGTGTGTATGTGTGTGTGTGTCTGTCTGTGAGTGAGTGAGTGAGTGAGTGAGTGAATGTATGTGTGTCTGTGAGTGTGTGTTTGTATGTGAGTGAGTGAGTGAGTGTGTGTGTCTGTCTGTCTGTGAGTGTGTGTCTGTCTGTGAATGTGTGTCTGTCTGTCTGTGAGTGTGTGTGTCTGTGTGTGTGTGTGTGTTGGTCAGTGAGTATGTGTGTGTGTCAGTTGTTCGGTCAGTGAGTGTGTGTGTTGGTCGGTCAGTCAGTCAGTCAGAGAGTGTGTGTATAATGCAGTGTGTAGTGTGTTTATATAATGCACACTACACAAACACACTGCATTATATACACACACACTGCATTATATACACACACTACACACACTGCATTATATACACACACTATACAAACACAAACTACACAAACACACTGTGTATATAATGCAGTGTGTGTGTATATAATGCAGTGTGTGTGTAGTGTGTGTGTATATAATGCAGTGTGTGTAGTGTGTGTGTATATAATGCAGTGTGTGTTTGCACAGTGTGTTTATATAATGCACACTACACAAACACACTGCATTATATACACACTATACATACACACACACTCTGCATTATATAAACACACTACATTCATTATATACACACACACTACACAAACACACTTTGCATTTAGTATATATTGCATTCACTTTACGCACACTACCCACACACTACCCAAACACTCTGCTTTCATTATATACACACTACACTAATACACACTGCATCCACTACACACTACACAAACACACTGCATCCACTACACAAACACACACTTCATCCACAACATACACTACACAAACACACACTGCATCCACAACACACACTACACAAACACACTGCATCCACTACACAAACACACACTGCATCCACTACACAAACACACACTGCATCCACTACACACACTACACAAACACACACTGCATCCACTACACACACTGCACAAACACATACAGCTCCCCTGTCTAAACACACTGCATCCACTACACGTGGCATGTATATTTTGTGCATTAACCTTTAGAAATAGTTTTTATTTTCCAAAATGGTAAATGTACAGAATATCGGCAAATTATATCGGCTATCGGCCTGAAAATTCACAGAATATCGGTATCGGTATCGGCTCAAAAAATCAATATCGGTCGATCCCTACATTCTAGTAACATTCTACATATTTCCTTTTTTTTTTTAAAGCGTTCAAACACCAGACCCTAATATTCTATTTCAGTGGGTCGTCAGTGGTAGACAAAAAAGTAATTGATCGTGGGACCATTACTTACAATGGAGGACAATTTGGAGCACTGCAAAAGAGAGAGGAAGGAGCCTTGAAATCAATGTATTATCAATAAATACTAGCTTATTCAGTTAAACTGTACAATGGATTGCCCTAAGTGTTTAAGTGATCATTCTACTTCTACTAATTCTATTTACTGTAATGTATAATCTATAGCAGGATTTCAGCAAGCACATCCCTGACTCATTGCTGAAGAATGCTCGTCCTAAATACAAGTCCTTTCACAAAGAACTAAGATTCCAAAAAATAAGTTCCTTATTAAACTCTGAAAATGAGTAAGTTCAAGCAAATGCACTATAAAATATGAAAGAAAAAACAAAGATGTGTCTGAAAATGGAAGATAATCTTCAAATCAGCATTGACCAAGAAACTTATGAATTATTGTATCTCCAGGGGTGGACTGAGCACATTGGTTATGGACTGAGGACCTGTCTATGGCTGAACTGTAATAAGCTGGGTAGGTAGTTCAGATGAACTACCCAACCAGTCTGCAATAGTAAAGGGGGCTCTCTATTGAGTGGAACTCATCTCCTACAGTGAGTTTCTGTTTAGAATGGCTGTGCAACAGTTAGACTCAGTGGGAATAAGGGCTCTGGGAGGATGCGTATAAGGGCTCTGGGAGAATGATGAGCTTTGAGGAATAAGTGGATGCATAATTGGGAGTTGTGGTGGATGTGTGGCTTGGGGAATGGTGGCAGTGGGGTATAAGTAGCATGGATAAAAGGTTGCGTGGAAGATGTCACATGGAGAATGAACTAAAATGTGTCATGGAGAATGAGATATTATTTGTGTCATGGAGAATGGAGAACATTGGGAATTGGCAGCATTAGGAATGGTGAGCATCTGGGTGGATGTACATGGAGAAGGGTAGTATATGAAATAGTGGCTTTGGATTTAAATGTAGCAAGAGGAATGGAGACTGTAGGGGTAAGTGGCATGGATAAGAAGGTAATGAGTAGCATGGAGGATTGGAGGTCAACAAGGATTTGTTTAATGGGGGATTTGGTGGCGGTAATAGAGTGGAATGTGTGGCATGAGGGATGGGATGTGTACCAAGAGAAATGTAGGACAGTGTGAGATATGGAAGATAGTGTATGGAGGCTGTGGGTGAATAATGACTCAGAGAATGCTGGGGAATGGAAGCTTGTGGATGCACGTGTGGCATGTGGAATAAAGGCCTGTTGAGAATAATTTACATAGAAAAGGGACATGTGGACAATAATTGGTAAAGAGAAGACGTTATTTGTCATTATAGGGCAGTGATGGCTAACCTTGACACCATAAATTGTTTCTGGACTACATTTCCCATGATGCTCAGCTATTTTTTCAACTCTAAAAGCTAGCTGAGCATCATGGGAAATTTAGTCCAGAAACAATTTATGGTGTCAAGTTTAGCCATCACTGTTATAGGGTGTCTAGGAGATAGACAGGTATTGGGGGGGGGGAGGGGGAGGAATGAGTAATGCATTTTTGGGGAAAGGCTGACATTGCACACAGTGAAAATGGCTCACACCCACACTGCCCTCGGCTACACTGACACACTAACACTTATATGGCACACAAAGATTACGCACAAACATATGTACTGACACTGTACCCATGTATAATGTCATACTATCATACAATCACACAAATACACCAATTATACTTACAGTGACAGTGCACTTACACAAACACACTTCTCACAAAGCCACATATACATTTTATATTTTATAATACATTACCCAATACATTAAAATTAGGAATCCAGTGACGTCCAGTCTGCAGTGATCATTAAAATCATGACGTCAGGGGCCCAGGACCTAATTTTGCCCTTGAATCCAGACTGCTCTAGCGCACCCCCAGCCATGAAGAATTCAGACTATGATGGTTACAAAAATAAGCCCTAACAGGTATATAGTTATGAATACTTAGGAAATTGATCTATTGTATGACTGCAAACACTCTTTATCTAGTACAAAACACAGATGGCTTATGTCAGATACAAGGAAACATAAATTTTTGTATTTAAAATCTCTCCAATATTCTTTTGAACAGAAAAATGATCAGTTTCAGAACTTATCTAATAACTGTGCTGCTGTAATGCTGATTTATTAAAGTCTCCAGAGCAGTGGTTCCCAAACTTTTTAGGTTCCAGGCGCCCTTAATATTTCAAAATTTTTTCAAGGCGCCCTAAGTCAAAACAATTTCTAGGTTGTATACATGTACAGTGCTGCGGCATATACTGGGCCCCTGTTCAGCAGAAATCTCGGGAGGGGCAGTAGTAGATTGTTTAAAGAAACAATCGAGGCACAATAACCACTACAGCACACTGTAGTGGTTATGGTGCCAGGAGTGCCTTGGTGCCCTCCAAGGGTAAGTAGTCAAACTGTTTAAGAACAATTTGACAACTTACCTGGGGTTTGCAAGGATAGGGGCTGTAGTGGGGGATAGGGGCAGTGTTGTGTGTGGCTCAATGTATGTGTGTGTGATGGGTGCAATGTGTGTGGGGTTAAGTGTGTGTAAGGGTGCAGTGTGTGTGTGAGGGATACAGTGTGTGCGTGATGAGTATACTGTGTGTGTATTGACAGTGTGTGTGGGGCAGAGTGTGTTTGTGGGGGGGCAGTGTGTGTGTAAGGGGCCAGTGTGTGTGTATGGGGCCAGTGTGTGTGTATGGTGGCAGTGTGCGTGTGTGGGGGGCAGTTTGTGTGTATGGGGGCAGTCTGTGTTGGAGCTGAGCTGCAAAACTGTACACTTTGGCATTAGGAAGATTAAGTCATCCATTGGATTTGGTTTGATAAAGCTTGGTTAGGCTCAGCCTGGCCATCCGCCCCCACCACAGTAAGTCGTCTTTTTTGGAGAACAAGACTGGGAGTACCTGAAGCGGATACAGCAGTTTTGGGAAACTAGTCAATTTATAAAGATTGGCTCTTCCTAAATATGAGAGTGGCATTAATGACATGATGGCTCCTAACAGTGGATCTATGGCTAGGTTGAACAGTAGTGGTGACAAGGGGCACCCCTGTCGCACTCACCGCCCCAGCATAAAATATGGAGAGTCGAGTCCATTTGTTGTAATACAAGCGGTTGTGTTGTGTTGTAAGTTTTGGACAAAGGCCACAAAGGTGTGCCCGAAGTAGCGTAGGTACAGTATGCGTATTAGATGTTGCCAGGTGATAAATGCCTTTTCTATATCAGGGCTGATGAGGGAAGAGGAGGGAGATCTCACCCAACCTAGGGGTCTTAATATAGGCATTGATCTAGTGTGTTTTCTGGATTGAGTTTCTGTGGTATATTTTTTTAGATTGAAGGGGTTTTTCTATTTTATTTTCATTTTTATTTTTATTCTTATTCATTTTTAGTTTTATTTTTATATTTATTTTTATTTTATTTTATTTTAATTTTCTTTTTCTTTTTCTTTACTTTTAATTTTAATTAAATTTTTATTTTACATTTATATTTATTTAATATTTGTTTATTTTTTTGGTCTTGGATTATTCTTTTCTTTTTCAGGGAGTCCTGCCTGCTACAATCTAGTCGTAGGGATTCATATGTATTAAGGCAGTTTTGCCTGTATTTGTGGGAGGGGCTTAAATTAATTCACTCCCCTATATAAGGGACACCCCTTACCTGACTCATATTGCTTGAGGTCAGCATCAGAATGATTTCCACTTCCGGGTCATCCAGACGCCATTTTACCTGATTACTCCATGAGGTTTTCTAAGCTGAGCTGTGTCAGGAATCCAGCCACAGGCTTTTCCGGCCTACCACCTTCTTTCTTCAATCTATCGCTGTGGATGGTGTCCAAGTGACTCACAAACCGTAAGTTGACCTACCCATTACGCCAGGCATCAGTCCCACGGCACCATGCAAGGGTCAGGTCCTCACTTTACTGCTGCATTTTGTCTAAGTCTGTTCTAAAACCATTGCATGTTCATGCATATCATTCGTTTAAACCCCCTACTGGTCTTTGGGTGTACTACAGACTTCTTAGACATTATCGCATTTCATGTACAAACCAACGAACCACTGCATCTTTGCCTACACACTGACCCCTACCGGTCATTCGGTGTACTACAGGCTTCTCAGACATTATTGCATTTCATGTACAAACCAACGAACCACCGCATTTTTCACCTACACACTGACCCCTATTGGTCATTCGGTGTACTACAGGCTTCTTAGGCGTTGTTTGCATTTTCATGTACAAACCAATAAACCACTGCATTTACACCTACACACTGACCCCTACTGGTCTTTCGGTGGACTACAGGCTTCTTAGACATTATCGCATTTCATGTACAAATCAACGAACCACTGCATTTGCGCCTACACACTGACCCCTACCGGTCATTCTGTGTACTACAGGCTTCTCCGACATTATTGCATTTCAGGTACAAACCAACAAACCACTTAATTTTTCACCTACACACTGACCCCTATCAGTCATTCGGTGTACTACAGGCTTCTTAGACATTATTGCTTTTCATGTACAAAACAATAAACCACTGCATTTTCACCTACACACTGACACCTACCAGTCATTCTGTGTACTACCAGCTTCTCCGACATTATTGCATTTTATGTACAAACCAACAAACCACTGCATTTTTCACCTACATACTGACCCCTATCAGTCATTCGGTGTACTACAGGCTTCTTAGACATTATTGCTTTTCGTGTACAAACCAATAAACCACTGCATTTTTACCTACACACTTACACCTACCGGTCATTCAGTGTACTACAGGCTTCTCAGACATTATTGCATTTCATGTACAAACCAACGAACCACGGCATTTTCGCCTACATGCTGACCCCTACCGGTCAATCGGTATACTACAGTCTTCTCAGACTTTATTTCACTTCATAAGCAAACAAACTAACTACAGCATTTTCGCTTTTATACTGACTCCTATCTGTCATACGGTAGGATTAACCCCTTAGGGACACATGACATGTGTGACATGTCATGATTCCCTTTTATTCCAGAAGTTTGGTCCTTAAGGGGTTAAAGGGTATTTTTACCATACAATCAGCATTTATGACCCCTACTGGTCAACAGCAAAACTGTCTTCACATGTCATATACAATTTACCAGCCAATATAAATTACACATAAGATTGTTTTAACCCCTTAAGGACACAAGACATGTGTGACGTGTCATGATTCCCTTTTATTCCAGAAGTTTGGTCCTTACGGGGTTAAACATAACCATAAACCATAAATGAAACTCCAGCACGGGCTCAAATTCAGGTTTAATTCACAATAATTTACATTTCACATCAAGACCAACAGTGGTTCTATCAACACTGCCACCTACAGGTCTGTCAAGTACATTGACAATTTTCATGGGGTTTTACAAACACCAAAACACTTACACCTATAGGTCAACAGACAAACAACATTTCACATACCAATCAGTATCCAACTACACTGCCACCTGTAGGGCACTCGGCAGATCTCCAGTGCACTTGCATTTTGCAACACCATGTTCACTGACCCCTACCATTCAATAAGACATACAACAATTCACATAGCAAGCACTATATCAACATCAGGTCTAAATACATATATTATTACACAGTAGCAGACGCGTCTGTACATACGTAACTGGTAATATAGTTCACATACATTTTTCACAGCACGCTGCTCACGCAACAGACTTTCCCCTAGCAAGGGGACATACAACATACAAGGTGGGGACAGACCACATTTTCACTTGTACATACGGCACTTAATGGGTTAAGATTGATACATATTTAACCAGTATGGCTACGATGTTTAATATTTACACATCATGGCACTTTACTTTTCACATATACTGTACGTATTAAGATAAGCTTGGTCTATGCCATATTTCCTTATGCCATACGGTTTTATCCATTCAGGTTACAGTTACTACTAAAAAACCTATACGGATTGTCAGGTTCAATACCATACTACCAGGTACATACACCTGCTCACGTAGTTATCCATCTCTTACCTTCCCTGGAATAGTAATAGTGTACTGGCAATTAGGGTTCTAGGGCCCAATAGGTATTACCCCCTTTTTTCTCTGCATTATGCTTCGGTTAGTGGTCCCGCGAGGCCAACACCCCGCCTCACACTCGGAGGCATACACCCCTCGGGCCACTCGTGAGCTAGCCGCCTCGCATTGTATCATAGAGAGGGCCTCACCTGTCACTCCCCTTCCTATTTTCTGGTTACTGTCACCGAGAGGCCAACATCCTGCCACAATGTTCGGTGGCCACACAAAATCCCCTCGCGCCAAGCATAGATAGAGCCTCTCAAGCCACTTGGCAACTAGCAGGGCCTCACCAGTCACCAAAAAACACCAAGCCTAATCGTTTCGCCTTACGGCTTAGCTAGCAAGCCAGTACAAGAACCCTGGGTACAAATAATTGCATCTTTATTGTTATTTAAGTATTTCTCCAAAAGATGGTGAAGAATCACCTCTTCCTAGCACCCTGGCTAGAATTGATACACCTTCAAGCAGAGGAGATGTTGCTAGTCCTGCAGCAATCAGATCATGGACGATCCCACACATTACCACCGACCTAAGGAGGTGACAAATCCCCTACCCTGCTACAGCAAGGAAAGCAGAGTTATTCAAACTCCTCCATACATCAACGGACAACACGGAGGCAGGGGAAGGCCCAGCTACATCAACTCAGGTGACACCCAGGCTATGCTAGCCTCACTCATAAACTCATGAGCCAAAAAATTTTATGACAGACTGGCAATCTCGAGTTGGTCACCACAGCCCTCACAAGGCTGGGCCTCACGTTACTGTACAACCAGCACCAACCGAAACTCGGTTACCTGGTACAATCAATTCTTATGACACACAAGATGTTAACCCTGCACGTATGATCCCAGCACATTGGGGAAGCAAGGCATATATATGTATGATGATGTATCTGTGATGGTCAGATTCAGGGATTCCAGGTAAATCGGGAACTGACCATCTCTTGGATGGGTTGGTATTTGGAATATGTAGAGATGTTTATTTGTGCAGGTACCCATACAGAAGGGGTTCTGTCCCAAACAAATGGACGAGCACTCTCAGGCTCCAGGTACCAGCACCTCTGAACTACCAGAGACGATTGATATGAGTAGTTGCATTGCATATAGACTGTTGCATATATGTTCAAATGGTTCAGGGCACATGACAAACCATGTGGCCCAATACAACTTACAAATAACGTACTCACCATCTGTACACACCAATGCATTTTCAACACTACTGACTCATCACCCTTCCAGACTTGTAGTAGATTTACTAAAGCTCTGGAGCTTCAAAGGGCTCCCATACAGGTATCATAAACACACCTTCAAGGAATATAGCATGCCCTCACTTACAGTCAGCACAACAAAACCATTGGCTGAAAACACACTCATAGCCAAGATTTGCAGAGTGGTCTTCCAATCTCCACCATTTACAGCATGGCACCAAACACACACATTGGTATTGTCACAAGGAATCTTCCCTTAAACAAAGACTAACCATAGACTTATTGGCACCACACACCTCCGCTACCCCAAGTCTCAACTCCCTTCTTACTATACAACACCATTGATCTACCTTTACAGCTATCACTCAAGCATGGGTTAAAGCTTGGTTAAGTAAGACCAATATCATCAACGCAGTAAACAGCTACCATCTACCCTACACACTGGCACTTACATGGCATAAATTGGGCAATCCTTTCCCTGCTCAACTTTCGAGCTACAGATTAACCTACTATCGCTATTCGCAGATACTCTGTGCTGGTTATGATAACATATCCAGAGGCATTACAGTCATACACTATCTAGAAGACTTCTTGTTGCTCAAAGAAAGCATATTTTTCACTAGAAGCATCATGGCAGCTTAGTCTGGTTGACCACTTGTGCGTCCCAGTACCCCATAAGAAACAGAAGGCGCAGACACTATCATCACATTACTGGGCATATGACTTGAGTCGGCATCCATACACGCAAGTTACCACAAGACAAATAGGGAACATTCTCAACTAAATCAATCACTACCTCCTGCTTAGTACTTACAACTACAAGGAACTACAATCCCTACTAGGTTCCTTAATTTTGCCATGCCAATCATACCACAAGACCACGCTTTCACATCCAGAGTACTTTCCCCCTTTTTTCCACACTTCCAACATGACGATCAGAGGAGGTGCCTAGACACCTCAGCAACAGCAGACCTGCACATGGGATGGGGATTTCTTAACCACTTGACATGGTAAAAGCATGTTCCTTCCAGGATTGTCTGACACTTCTCCAACCAGATGGTCAGACGCAGCGTATACCACGGGTTTGGCAGCGATCTACCGGGAACAATTGCTCTGGGGCTGTTGGCCATGGCATCCAGGTTTGGAAATTTTTCCACCACTTCAGCCCCTTTGGGAGATCTACTCCATTGTAGCAGCTGCTGTGGCATGGGGTAAATCATGGTCAGGGTCATCAATCCGTTGTTACTCAGACAACTAAGCACATATCATATCATCAACAAACGCCACTACTCATCCATAAGTTCATGATGTTTCTGGGGAACTCACTTGGTTGGCCACTTATCACATTTCACTTTCATGTACCAGACGGGGGTATACATCCCTGCCGACAACTGTCTCATTTATATTCCAGGCATGTTCATCATACGCTTCCTACAGCCGCCCATACAGTCACGTCCACTCTTTCGTTCCAGAGACAAAATCATGGATTAGACATACTCATGCAGCATTGCATGCACTATCCTACCTAGCACTTTCGTCCCATACTTGTAGAACGCATAACACAGCTTTTCACCTGGCTTAAAGAATCTCATTGGAACACGACATAGCTCAACCTGTGTCACAAAATTTCTCCTAAGTTTTGCTTATTTTTGCCACCTTAAACTTAACTATCTCATACACCATTAATTATATATTTTACAGGCATTCAACAACACATGATAACCTATGGCCAAAACTACCATAAACTTCATGCTATCATACCAGAAAAGAATATACTCAGAGGTTTTCAGGAATCCATTCCCCCACGTTCCTCTGAGAAATTACCAATAGCCATCCAACTGTTCATCCTTATCGGACCTATTAGATCTACAACCATTCAATTATACTACCAAGTCGGCCATTACCAGCCATGCACATTGCCTTTTATGCCTTTTTCAGGCCAGAGAATCCACTACCATCACCACCACTCAGACAGATCATTGTCTTCAACGATCCCACGTACGTAAACACATATATCATTACCTATTGGCTCTACCACATTCCGAAATGAGTCAACATGCACCAACAGAGATAACATACTATCCTACCCACAACAAATGGTGCCCACTTTCGGTCCTAGATTCCTATCTTCAAAATCCTTTCAGGAATTAAATACTGTAATGCATTTAAGGAAATGTCTGGTTAATTTGTATATATTTGTTGACTGTATTAAATCTTTGATTATTCATTTTTGCCCTCTTTATTTACAGGCCTACCGTATCGTCGGTATCGGCACACCACAACCGACTTGCTCCCTTTACACTATCCTAAGCTTATGCTGGATCCTTACTCCATATACGGCTATTTTGCCCCTTACACAAGTATTAAGGCAGTTTTGCTTGTATTTGTGGGAGGGGCTTAAATTAATTCACTCCCCTATATAAGGGACACCCCTTACCTGACTCATATCGCTTGAGGTCAGCATCAGAATGACCCTCCCACCCACTCCTCATTTCAACACTTTCTCTTTTCTTTCCATTTACTTTACTTTCTTACTCCTTGGTGGGCCCTCTTTATTTACAGGCCTACCGTATCGTCGGTATCGGCACACCACAACCGACTTGCTCCCTTTACACTATCCTAAGCTTATGCTGGATCCTTACTCCATATACGGCTATTTTGCCCCTTACACAAGTACATATATGTGTGGCTTTGAGGGATTATATATAAATACCAATTCATAGCAGTGGACTTTATTGTACATTCTTATTTTTGGTCTGTGTTTTACTTTATTTTATTTTTTTATTTTTTAGTTCAAAGGTTAAACACCTAATAGGGATAGGGAGTAAATTTAAATCTGATATTTCTCTTCATGAATCCCTTTATTATCCTGTATAAATATTTATATGTAGCAATAAAATTCTATTTTGATACAGATGTGTGTGCTAATTAAAGATATTATAAATATTGAAAGAAGAAATACTTATCTTTTTTAGGGAACATTTCTATAAATAAATCACTTTTCATTTCACAATTAGTGTATGTCACTTTAAAACAGTAGATTTAGATTACATAAGTGTGTGGATCATGGATTCACACATCAATATGATGTATATGTAACAATGTGTGCATTTCAATAATTCATTCAGTGTTATGCTACTTGGGTGATTTGGATTGGAACTCAACTGCAGCTTGTAAAACTCCCTAATTACAATTGTGAAGAAACTGAGAATCTTTAAAGTATCAATACTGTAGCTTTAAGAAAAGAGAGAATCACTGGTAACTTGATTCAACCGAAGTTTTAATAAGTGTTAAACTTAAATGAATTGCATTTAGGCAATAATCCAATAAGAGGAAGAGCAAGTAATCAACAACACAAAGTTCATTATTAAGTATTTCCTCAGAGATGCATTAAGTAATATTATTTAAGTTCATGAGAATAATCTTCAATAGAAACATTAAGAAAGTAGCTGAGAATAGTTGCAAAGCAAGAACAGCTCATAGTGAATAAGCATGATGGGAGTTGTCCTCCATATAATTTGTAGTTTGAAGCACTGAGTATATTTGCAAAGCAAGAAACAGTTCATAGTGAATAAGCATGATGGGAGTTGTCCTCCATATAATTAGTAGTTTGAAGCACTGAGTATATTTGCAAAGCAAGAAACAGTTCATAGTGAATAAGCATGATGGGAGTTGTCCTCCATATAATTAGTAGTTTGAAGCAATGAAGATTTGAGTAGGCAAGCATTAGTTCATTATTAAATGATATTGTAGACAAATAGCTGAAAGATATACTTAAGGTTAATCTGAGTAGGCCTCCAATAGTTTAGGGATATGGTCCACTTGCAAAGTAATTGAGTTTCCGTTCTCCTGTAACCCTCCATGACATGAAGCATACTTGTCTTAGTCCAGAAGGCTAGGACGACTTCCAGAGCCGGCGTGCATATTCGGAAGTAGGACCCACATTGCCAGAGCCTGTGGAGAGTAAGTCTGGCGGAAGTAGCTCCCAGTATTACCAAGCCCCCTCTCTCTGGCGCGGTCTCCCTAAATACCGTTAGAGCCGCGTCAGAGGGGGGTGGGGTCCGGCTCCGCACAGCGGAGTGCCGAACCCGGAAGTGTTACCGCATGACATTCAGGTCATAGGACATATTAGGTTATATGCCTTATATCTGGAGTTTATTAATTCGTTATAAATACATCACTTGTGAGACTTTATATTACAGTAAATATTCCCTTTTTTATATATATTGATAGGGTGTATACACAAGATTTATATGATGTGATTCATTATTATTGTTTATTTTTAGTATTACATGTGATATTATAGTTCTACATTTGGGATATTAATATGCTTTTTTCCTTCACATAGATAAGCACGTCATTTTGTTATTCTGCTAATTAATAGCTATTTTAAGGATTTTATGCACTTCAATTTTCGCTATTATGGACATGACACGCAAGTGGAACGCATTTGGAACGCACTTGAAACGCGGAAGTAAGAGAATGTACATACTTCCGGTTTCACTGAACGCGCCTAATTTGATCGAAGTAAAAATGCTGAAAGTAATCTCAGCTGAGAGGAGCTGCCCTTGCACCAATGGAGATCCTGATGACTGGAAACACCTACAGCATTGACCAATTGGACACAGGGACTAGCCCTATTTAAAGGGATTGTATTAAGGGGGGAGTAGGATGTGTTATTTTACAATTTGTTATATTGTATTTGATTTTATTATTATTGCGGTCCCTGAAGGAACGAAACGCGCTGGACCTATCGCTTTATTCTTATTTTTTGTACTTATGGTGTTTTTCACCTTTTAAAAAAAATAAAATAATTTGATTTTGACCATCATCTACTTGGAGTCCCGTGTACCATTGGCTATCTCGCATTGGCAAGGGGATCACTAGCCCCCCACATCATCAGGGGAGGCATCTTATGAGTGCTTATTTCTACACTATCTCGTGAGTGCATTTATTAACAGCGCAAGATCTATTG